TAGTTCCTCCCACGTAGACAGAACCCAATAAGAGAGGCAGAATCAGGCGACAAAACTGGATGTTTCCTGAACCCCCAGACAAATGCTTAGACTTGATCCCACAGGACAGACGAACCCCAGGAAGGGTGGAGCAAAGAGGGGCACGATCAAAAGCACTTCTGACTTTACTACAATAAAGCATAACATCCTTTATTTACTCATTTTAAATCAAAGGAAAAGGACCATTGAGAACCCAGTACTCTAAACTATTGTTTCTGTCACTTTGAAATACATTTAGAAGCTTACTGGTTGTGTTGACATATAACAGCATAAAATCTTAGCCAAATGTTTCCAAAGCTCTTTTCATGGAATATAAGCTATAATTTCCACTTGGCTCTAGTGACCACTAGCAAGGACAAGGGAATAATTCCCACTTGTAATGCACAAGTCTCTCCACTGTCACCCAGGCTTATGCAGAAGCCATCCTGACTGACAGCTCCAGCTTCCACAAATCTCATTTTCAGAAGCTGTCCTCTCTGGTACAGTTTTGGGGTCTCCCTTTCCTCACAGTCATAAAATTGTATACATGGTCCCCACAAGACATTGCCATCTGAAGAATACAAAGTTTGAAAAGTCGAAAGTCAATTGCTCAAAAGATACCCACACCATCACAGAATCTCAGTGTTCAGAAAGAAATCAGTGTTTAAGTTTGCCTGAATAACTAAAAGACACTCCAAGTAATGTAAAATTGTTACTCCAGATGGACAAGAACACTGCCCCTGTACTCATAGCACTTCTGACACCAAGTGTGTAGGGTTTTTTTTATGAATATACCAACTAACGAGTCCTATAATTTAATTCAAATTCTGATTAACTACATGCATAGCACAGCCCCCTCATAGATTAATGGTTCAGTTTCACAAACTGCCCCCTACACACACACACACACACACACACACACACACACACACACACACACACACACGCTCGCACGCACGCACACGCGCAAAGGCACTTCAGACAGTGATCACACTATTTCCCAGGTTACCAACACATCTGCTAACCTGTCTACCAATCAAGGGTCCCCAACCCTTCTCAGGTTTAGTAACAAGTTATAATAACTCAGATTCCAGGAAATTCATTTATAAGAAGCTTACTGTTAGGACAGTATAAAGAATGAAAATGAGCTGGGCATGGTGTTGCATGCCTTTGATCCCAGTCAAGGCAGGCAGATCTCTGTAAATTCCAGACCAACCTGGCAAGTTCTAGACCAGCCAAAGCTACAATAGTGAGTCTCATCTCAAATTATATACATATATATAGAGAGAGGGGGTGGATCAAATTATATACATATATATATAGAGAGGGGGGTGGATGGATAGACAGACAGACAGACAGACAGACAGGCAGATGAACAGGGAATAAAGTGCAGAGTGCAGCATGGGAACAGGGCCAAGGAAGTTTCCTTCTCTTCCAAGTTATCCCATTATGAGGGCTCCATTATGTAAGAAGGACAGCCAGACCACTGACTGTACATGATTGCCTCTAGCCTCTTTCTCCTCCCCAGAAGGAAAGGTAGGACAAAAGTCTCGGCCCTGACTTCAACGGCAAAGCCTCCCGCACCCAGCTCCCATCCCTAAAGCTATCTACCGACTCATGAGTAATCTCATGAATGCACAAAAGTGTACACAGTCCAGATAGTCCAAGGATCTTAGAACTTAAACTTAGAACTTCCTGGGTCAGAAATTGGGAGAATTTGTGATCCTTCTTTTCTTACTTTGTTTTAAGAGAGTTTGCCTTGGACTCCAGTCTCTTGAGTGGTGGCAATATATGTGTGTGCCACCACACCCAGCTCCTATATTCATTATTTCAAAATATGTGGATAATCCTAGTATTTGAGAGGCTGAAGCAGGGATTTCCATGACTAAAGTCCAGGCTTAAGACTGGACCAATCCTACTTCCTAAAATAATGATCGTCTTTTTTTGTCTTTAGCCAGTGTTAAGTCCATTATCAATGGTACTCTCCTCAACACCAACTTGTCTCCAAAGAGTTGAGCCCTCTATAGTCATCTGTAGGAACAGGAACAACTTCTGGGAAATTTCCCATTAGGTGTTCTATCATTCTGAGAAACATCACAGAGTTTGCATGAAGTCAGATGGTTTCTACCTCACTAGGCAAGATTTTTGTGGGACCATAGTTACATATGTAGCCAATGAAAATGATGTCCGGTAGTACATGAATGAATGCATATTTATCACACTAAACAAACTCCATACATGTATAAAAAGCAGCTAACAGTAACTTGGCTTTATCTAATATTTATTGCTACATAATCCTGCACACAACAACACAAAACTTCCTTTAAGAAGTCAAATGCACCATCTATGTCATTTCTGGTGCTTTCTTAAATATTGTTTCTGCACTCAGGGTAGCTCTTGGAGTCCACGCATTAAACAGAAAGAATCAAGTTTCAGAAAACATCAACTCATTCCAAAACTAAAGAAAAGAAATTAGATAATGGTCTGGAAATTGTTCCCTCTGCTAATAACCACAGCTGCCACTAGCCCTCCTTCTGCTGCCCCAACTAAAGGGGGAAAAACCTGGACAATCATGCTTAACATATGAGAACTAAATTACCTGTCTAGCTGTATTCTTTTCCCAAAGCTTGCTTTTTCAATATAAAAAGAAAATAGGAGGAAGGACACTAACATTTTAGAATTGATTGCCTCTGGGGCATATTTCTAGTGATTGCAGATCTGCTATATGTTATTACCTATATTTTGTCAGGGAGACTTAGTTAGTTTGAGTATGTTCCCTAAAGCCAAAGTCTTCTGTTTCTTAGAGTGAGATACATTGTTCTAGTTTAATCACTGCTTTAGAAAGCATTTGTGGAATCTTATTAGAAGCCAGTCTCCATTCCAGGCAGGTCCTAGAGATCTCAAAGTGTGTAAGACACCATACCCAAGTCAAAACTTGCATCCTGGAGCTGGAAGGACATAAATAACCACACAGGATAATGTAAGAAGCATATCAAGGCCGGGTGTTGACGGCAAATGGCCTTAATCCCAGCACTCGGGAGGCAGAGGCAGGTGGATCTCGGTGAGTTCGAGGCCAGCCTGATCTACGGAGTGAGTGCCAGGATAGGCTCCAAAGCTGCACAGAGAAACCCTGAAAAGTATATCCGTTTGACAATGTGATTTCTCCCAAGTGATCATCAAATCTTTTTATTGCCTATAAATGATACCAGTTACAAGAACTAACTGGGAAGGCACAACAGCCATTGGGAACTGCTAACAGAGAACTATGCAATTACCTTCCCCTGCTATCTAGGATGACTTCATAAAATGATGATGCCAGCTCTCAGACTACAGAGTTCTAACAATTCTGTCTCATTTCAAATTCTATCTCTTGTCCATTATTCACTGGGGTGAAAGGTTAAATGGCTAAGATAAAGGAAGTGTGGTCATTTGACTAATGTCCCTATGAGAAACATGGGGAGGTTTCAACACACTCATCATTAAGGTCCCAGAGACAGCACATGCTATCCATTGGGCAATGGCATCCAGGCTTCATACGCTGATCAACAGTTACTGAGAAGTCCCTGGTCTACGAGTGGCCATCGCCAGGACTTTCCACCCTCAAAATAGAGACTCCAAGGCTCTACACTTTGGCATATATGCAAAATACAAACTTTTGTTTTAAGCAACTTCCTGTCTCACCTATTTGTACAAGTCCACAAATGTAGTTGCTGGCCGTTTCTGTAGCAACCTCCTGGGACATTAATGCTTCGTGTCACTTGGATGACCCTGTCACTGAGATTTTGGGAGAACTTGTGTTGGTTGAGAAAGGCTGTTTCAGGGTACATATATCTTCTCACCGGGTGAAGGACGGGCCATCATCTGCTAAGACCCTTACAGCCACAGCACTCAGCAAACTTTTTTTTAGCTGGAAACAGTTGCTTTGTGGAGAGTGGAGGCTGATGCCGGTGTACACTTCACATTTCCTCCTAGGCCAGTCACACCCTGGCAACTGAGTTTCTCAAAGTCCTCCCTCTTCCAGAAGGGTCTCCGACCCTCACCACAGAATGAAACAGCAATCCTCCTCACCAGACTCTAGACACATTCACAAGTTAAAAGTTTGCCTAAAGTTTCATTGATGTGCAGACTCCCTGCCTGTTGCTAGGTAAAGTGTATTACAAATGTATTCCAGCTTTGTCTAGCCCTGAATGAGAATTATGCTCCGATTCGGTTGGTGGGAACAAATTCTCAAGTTTCCCCCAGTTTCCCGCCGCCACCACCGCCACCACCACCACCACCTCCACCTCCGCCACACCTCAGCCCCACAGAGTCAGAGAGCTCAGAGGGACCACTTCCCCCTAGAAGCCGGGACGGAGGAGCATGTCACCAGGACGCACACACCTGAGATCAGTCCTCACGCGCGAGGGGACAGCAGGCAGGGGCGCCAGGATCCTCCAGCCAGGGCGGAGTCGGCCTTGCCGAGAACCAGAGTTGCCCTGGGCTCGCGGCGAGCGCGCCGGGATGTCACCGGGTCAGGCGGGGCCACGGTAACCCGACCCGCCCCGCCCGCCGACGCCCCTCCCGGCTACTTCCTCCTCCCCCCTCGTGCGCCTCCGCCTCCTCCGGGGATGACCCCACGGCTCCGCCACTGCGTGCGCCGCCACACCGCGGCCCTGGCTCCTAGGCAAGGCTGGGAAACGCGGAAGTGCATTTGCTATGCGAGCCGCGGGCGGGGAAAGACAGCTGCACACCCGCTCTCTGGGCCTCCTGGGGGCATGAGCTGGCCCTGGCCCGGGTGGGCGATCCTGCCCTGCGCCCTGGAGAAGAGGGACTCCAGACCCAGCCACTCCTCGCCAGCTGGAGGGAAGGCGAGAGGGCTGAGCTAGGCCGGGGAAGCCGGTGGGGTGTCGGGTTCCTGTCCCTCCCCATGAGGGCCACCCCCGCCATCTGCCCGGGAGGAGGACGCTCGCTCGCCCGCCCGCTGCCCGCCAGGGCTGCCTTACCTGACCACGCGTCGCGCGTGCCCCGATCCAGCGTCGTCCCCCCCGCCCGTCCCGTGCCTCCCAGTCGCCTGGCTTCCCTGGGCCTAGAAAGGCGTCTAGGAGTCGGGGGACCCTGGGAACACGGCCTGCAGCTCTCGGCCCGGCTACCCCAGCGCGTTTTGCGGACGCTCCAGGCCTCCTGATCCCAGGCCTGAATGTTAGCGCGGTGACCCCAATCAGCAGGGATGGGATGCTGAGCACTGGTCAAGTAGGACCCAACCCTCGTACAGGTGGGGGATGGCGGAGAGCCCTGGCTACGGAGCCACAGGCATCCCACTTGCACCCCCCTCCCAACCCGACCCTGCCCACTGAGCATGCCCAGCTCACTTGTTGCAACTACAAGGGTTAGTCAAACCCAAGGGTACCCCAAGAGGGCTTAGGTTGGGTTCCGAAAGACCCCACTTTGTTAAGGATTTAAATCCTGAGCTATAACTCTCCACCAACCGTGGTGCTGGAAAAATGCAGGGACTGAACCGAAAATGCTCCTGAAATACAGCAGCCAAATTAGTTTGAAGGAAATTGTAGCAGTGTTTAGTAATCAATTACTAATACTATATATATATATATATGGGTTTTTTTCGAGATAGGGTTTCTCTGTAGCACAGGCTGTCCTGGAACTCACTCTGTAGACCAGGTTAGCCTGGAATTCTGCCTGCCTATGCTTACCAAATGCTGGGATTAAAGGCTTGGGCCACCTCCACCTGGCCTTTATTTAGAATTCGTAAACAATGCAACATTCCTACAGTTAACTCAAAGAAAGTTGTGGGGTTATAGACTCGTAGTTAGTTCCGAGAGCCCACCACAGCCTGTAAAGGCAAACAACTGGTTCCCCACCTTGGACACATTAAAATCTAAAGGATAAGAACTGTCAATATCAAGTCTCCATCCCTGTACCAATAAATGAATTTGGAGTTGGAGCCTGGAAATCCTTAGCATTTAAAAATATGCCTTTCATAGTACAGCTATGATGCCTCGGTACAGCATCGTCTGAGAGCTTGACAGAAATACAAATTGTCTGCCCTGGAGACTACCCAAGCCCTACCCCATCCTCCCGGAAATCCGTATTCACTCCAAGGGTTCAGAGCCTGTGTCCAATAGCTCAGTCCTAGATTATTCTAGTTTGAGAACCCTAATAGTTCTCAAACTGTGTGTGTGTGTGTGGTGCACGTGCGAGGGGGGGGGTATTTTGTTTTTCAATGTGTTTCTCAGCAAAGAAATAGGTTGAAATCAGGCTCCTATGCTGACTTTTCTTCCCACTAATTCACCTAAAAGAGTTCAGTTTCTGGAAATGGAAGCTATCCCATCATTCACTTTTGTACCCTGAGGCCTATAATGGATATTTAAATGCTTGTTGATTTTTTTTTCTTTAGGTTTCAAGACAGGGTTTCTCTGTATTGTTTTGGAGGCTGCCCTGGAACTCGCTCTGTAGACCAGGCTGACCTCGAACTCACAGAGATCTGCCTACCTCTGCCTCTCGAATGCTGGGATTAAAGGTGCGGCCACCAACGCCTGACTTGTTTGTTGATTTTACATGAATGCATAGGGGAACAGTAGGTTCCAGGCCCTACTATGTCCTCAAGTCCTCACCTTGTTAACTAACTACTCTGCTCTCCAGGATTCTGCTCCCATAAGAAGTTGATGAGCACCCCCACAGACCTTGGCCTAACTGAGATGAGAGAGCAGGTAGAGAAAAATCAGAAGCGCTGGGTGGTATTGTAATTGACAAATGAGTCTCAAAATGCTGAAGGTCAGAATAATAAGCAGCCAGTTGGATTCCAAGGGTCCAAAGGGAAACGGATGAGTGTGGGTGAGAGCAGGGTAAAGAGTCGGGTAGGAATCCTGGACAGGCCACATTTTATTGCGTTCTCTTTGTCAAAACCATGGCATTTTGGCATTCCTCATGTGCATATCACATCTCATCACAACCAGTGTTTTGAATACAATTTCAAGAGGAAAATGTTCTACAGCAGATATTTTCATGAGTTAAAACCGTTGCTCCTTTTTTAACAGTTCAGGCCACAACTTAGAGCATGTTAAAAAAAAAATCAAAACTGTCCACCCAGCTTTGATTCCAGTGCTGTGCAGGTAGAGATAGAGGAAGGCTGTGAGTTCAAGATCAGTGTGGTCTACATAGCAAATTCCTGGACAGCCAGAGCCACAGTGAGGCATATCCAAAAAAAAAAGGGGCGGGGGGAGCTGTCTTTTTTTCAGCAAATACCAGATAATTTAAAAATGCCCAGGTTTTGTATTTGGTTTTTTTGTTGTTTTGTTTGGTTTGGTTTGGTTTTTTGTTTGTTTGCTTTTGGTTCTTTTTGAGACAGAGTTTTTCTGTATTGTTTTGGAGGCTGTCCTCGAACTCGAGCTGTAGACCAGGCTGGCCTTGAACTCACAGAGATCCGCCTACCTCTGCCTCTGCCTACAGAGTGCTGGGATTAAAGGCGTGCACCACCAATGCTTGGCTAAAAATGCACAGGTTTAAGATAACTAGTTTAAAATCTCACAGAAACTTATAAAACCAAAAGGTAACTCTTTACTCCATCAGTATCTGTCTGTTTGTTTTTGAGATTGGGTCTCACCAATAAATAAATCAATAAATGAAAGAAGCAAAACCAAAGCCCGGCGGCGGTGGCACACACCTTTAATCCCAGCACTCACAGGCAGATCTCTGTGAGTTCGAGACCAGCCTGGTCTACAAGAGCAAGTTCCAGGACAGCCTCCAAAGCCACAGAGAAAAAAAAATTTTTTTATTTAAAAAAAAGAAGAAGAAGAGAGAGAGAGAGTCTCTCTACAGTTCTGGCTGTTCTGGAACTCAATGCATAGTCCAGACTGGCCTCAAACTCAACAGGGATCTTACTGCCTGTGCCACTGAGATGAAAGGCATATGCCACCACACCCATCAACTATTTCTAAGAGGAAGAAAATATTAAAAAGGTATATTTCCCTCCTCAGTCTAATGTGTGATGCTTTAAACCCATTTTAAGGTAGCTGTGAGTATGAGATTCAGCATCTGCTCAACCTTCCTTCCTCTGCACAGGTGTCTCGCTTTTATTATGATAAAAAACTGCACTGAAAGAATTGGCTTGGGGACTGGAATATCTAATAGGAGCACAACTTCCCAAATGCCTCAGCAAGTCCTTATCATAATAAAGTAACTCACTAGTTTAGGAATTGCTATTTGGAAATGAGAGGTCACTCACTAGTTTAGGAACTGCTATTTGGAATTCATTTTTACAATAAATTTACAAAAGATATTTCTATTTTAAAATTTGTTTAGAAACTTAAAAAGATGACCAACAGATGGCTTAGGGGTTAAGAATATTTGCTGTTTTTCTTTTTTTGTTTTTTGTTTGTTTGTTCTTCCAGACAGGGTTTCTCTGTATAGTTTTGGAGCCTGTCCTGGAACTCACTCTGTAGACTAAGCCAGCTTCGAACTCACAGAGATCCACCTGCCTCTGCCTCAGGAACAGTGGGATTAAAGGCGAGAGCCACCAACACCCGACATTTGCTGTTTTTTTTTTTTTAAAGGACCATGGCTCAATTCCCAGCACCCGCGTGGTGGCTCACAACCCTCTGTAACTCCAGCTCCTACGATGAACTCAACATCTCTGGCCTCTGAGAACCTCTGCCTTCATGTGTACATGGCCACAAGCAGACACACACAATTATACATAGCTAAAAGCAATAATAATAATAATAATAGTACTAGTAATAATAATAATAATTTTCTTTACATCAGACACTTGCTACTGCTACTTTTTGGTCATTTAAAAAAAAAAAAAAACAAGTTTAGGGATGGGGTCCAGAGCAGAGGTTGGCTAAGAAAGCTCTGATCATTGCCAAATGTACAACCATGAAGCAGTTATTGCAGCAGAGGCAGTCGTGAAGAACAATACCTTGGGAAGACCAAAAGCATGAAGTATTTCTCCTTGGCATCGTAAGCATGACTGAGCATTTGGGAAGCAGCTGTGTCTTCTGACTTACCAACCGCCAGTGTCAAACTTTGGTGCCACCTACCTTTTCTTGTACTCCTAAGAAAACAGGCACAAGTCAGTAATTCCAGCTACTTGGAAGGCTGAAGCAGGGAGAGCACTAGTTCAAGTCCCGCCTATGCTCAAAGAGAATGAAAGGCCAGCCTGGGTGGCTCACTCCGACCCCTCAAAGTACTAGAGCTAGGGCTGTGGTCCAGCAGCAGTAGCTACCTACAAGCTTAGCATGCTAAGCACCAGCACTGCTCCCTCAGCTTCCTGCCTGGACAGCTGCCCTAGCTCCTAGGGTCACAGCTAGAGCTTCTCCCACATCCGTGCTTCCCCACCACCCTCCATGATGGGCCCCAAAGCACCCTTCCTTCCTGAAGTTACTGTTGTCACACATTTTGCCACAGTAACAAGAAAACTTTCAGTCACCCATCAGACACATTCACAGCTAAGGATTTCAACCATAGCAGCTTTGCAGTCCTGCTCCCTATCACTAGACAACAACTATCATCGTAGTCCAGCCTGCTATATGAGTCAAGTTAGTGTTGAGTGGCTGTGTGACCTCAAGAAACAGTGACTTTTTTTTTTTAAGTTAACTAAAAGTAACTAAAAGCAAACAAACCTGTTGGGACTTACTCAGGTTTTCCCTAGGTTTTCCAGATGATTCCGACATAAATTTTGTGTGTTTGTTTGTTTGCTTGTTTGTAACAGTGCAGGAACTAAACCCAGGCCAGCTGGCTGTGTGCAGTTATTTTAGATCTTGTTCATTTTCAGAGAAACAGACTTTTCCCCTAATCAAGCATGGTCACTGTTCATAAAAGTTCACAATAAAATTTATATAACATTAGAAGTAGAAAGAACCACGAATGTTATTGGCCTCCCTACTTTTTTTTTTTCCTAGACAGGGTTTTTCTGTATAGCTTTGGAGCCTATCCCGGCACTGTAGACCAGGTTGGCCTCCAACTCACAGAGATCTGCCTGCCTCTGCCTCCCGAGTGCTGGGATTAAAGGCATGCTCCACCAACACAGGACTCCCTACTTTTGTTTTACAAATGAGAAACCAAGGTGCAGAACTTAACTAACTTCTTTGAGATTGCATTATTAGCTAAACAGAAGTGAAAGCAAGAAATTTTGTAGTGTTACAACACTGTATGAGCCTTCATGTAAGGTCTTCACCCATGATCTGGTCCTGTACCCTGATATCCTCATCAGTGAGAGATGTTAATAGGAACCAGTCATGTGTGACTTACTTTTTACCAGACACTACTGTTTAGCAAAATATACAT